ATAGTATTTTTTTTGCGTTTCAACCACTATAGTCTGTATCGGATATGATATCGACGGTTACTCTAGATCACTACCTGAAAAACTAATTGTACCATTTATAGCCATTGAAAATTCATCCGAAGGAAGTTTGAAGTATATAGATACAAAGATGGAGGAGATATGCAGAATTGAGGGAAACTAAGGCCACCGGTAGGGTAACGATTAAATACGTTAAATATGCATGTAAAAGACGATTTTTGGTATGTACATTAAAAAGTCTTACCGATACTGTTACGCGGCAAATGTTCGCGTCCCCTCGTCATGATCAAAATTGTGTTCCGAACGCTCGACGGTGTCAAAAATACGTTGCAATTATTAACGAGCGTGTCGTATCGCGAAAACATTTCTCCGATGATTCAACGGTAACCACAAATAACGGCGTTGGTGTTAGAATATATTTCATAAAATTTCTTTCAACCGTTTCGTCCTCTAATCTAAACCAAAACGGAAATGCTACGTTTATTCTATCTTATCGATCGAACAATGCTGTGATACCGTGGTACTTCTGGCAGAATTAACATACACATAGTGTGGTTCTAAAATCGACAAATTATGGTACACGCGTTCCAATTGTATTCACGGAATTATAAATGAAATTTGTAATTGTACTGACAGTAAAAGCTATTCCTGTAAACTGCGAATTTTTATATAGATCTTTATATTATCTTACAAACAAACTTATGAAAGTCAGAATCAAACGGAAGTTTACTTCGTTAAGAATTTTACCAGGTTGAAATCAAATAAATGTCATGTTGAATTTCATCAAATTATTTGTTACATCATATAAACATATGACACCCGCATTCCAGTTATCAGTATTACCTTTTTACTATCAGTATTGCGTACCGCGATAGTACTAAATAGAATCCGTTTGTCAAAGGTCCATTTTATAATCACACTTACTGCTTCCACCGATTGTACCTGACTGTTATCACCGCTTTTTCCAGTGTTCGGCTAGTATTTATCTATCTAGATGCTCCATGTATCGTTGTCGAAACTCGTCGAATCCTCAATGCAAAGACACTGTGAACCATACCACTGCACCGGGATGCACCAGTCCGCCGATCTCGCAATTTATTGTTCTTGTTTCCCCGTTCAGGATGAACAGCGCGTCGTTTGATGGGCTGACCATATATTTACCGAATATACCGCTTTGCACGATTGGTCTGTTCGGGTTTCCCCATTTGGTTAAATTTGGCGGTGTAGCTCTTCCGACGCCGGTTATCATTTCCACTTTGCCTGGAAGAGAAGATCGCCTGTTTCAAATTTCAATTTCAACACTGAAACATCGACGTTTTTTTTTTCTCACGTCGTATTAAACTATGATACTATTAGGATGAGTACATTTAAGAATTTTATGGAAGTTTTAGCCAGTTTTATGGTCAGATTTGAGAAGTCGAGTCAAAATGAAGAAAGCAGTAAAGTTAAGCGAAGTAACTCCTTGGGATAATTGGGTAATATCGTAGCAGCAAATAATACAGTGGACGATAGCGATATAGCGCGGTCTTAAGATACGGTACTCTAAATCTTAGGATATAGCGAGGCAATAAACCCTGTAGAAACATAAACAAGGAAGTTCCCTTGGGGTTTAAAGTTGCCGGTCGACAAAGGGTATCTCTCCAGCAAGGAATTCACACCTCCCATGGTACCACCTAAATAATCTTTCCTGTAAATCCGTTTCTCTTTACACCAATTCATGCAACGCGTGAAATCCCTTAACGCTAGCATACGCGGACTTCAGATCAGTTATACATTTGAAATTATAACGAGAAAGGAGGAACAGGCATTAGCGCCAACTCCCATACTTTCGCCGGAGATAAACGGTTTTTGAAGAGACTTGAAACTTTCTGAAATATTCGGGAAAAGTATCTAAAAGAATGCAGAAAGCCTTAACACGTCGACTGCCAGGGAGGTCACTGATGACCGGAGCTTCCAAATTGCCGAAAAACAATTACGATAAAAAGCTTGATTTTTAATAAAAATATTTAGTAACATAAGTAGCTAGATCATAGTGTAATATGGCTACCGTAATACTAAATCATTAATAACTATTTTCAATATCATTCGCCTTTGTTATTAAAGAATAAAAATTACTATTCAGAACGTTAGATATTCTCGTGGCAGTCAACGTGTTAACAATGAGGAATTTTCGTTTTGAACGAAGATATATGATAATTTTGAAATTCTGTTTCGCTTCCCATTTCCAGTAGAATTTTTTGTTAATCGTCTTCTTCTAGACCTTAGGCACTACGTTCGAGGTAAAATAAAACGACCCTGTTTGAACTCGAAAACTTTTGAGCCGAGCCTGCAGAGTAATTTCGTTTCACAATCGCGTTTGCTACCTCGCTATATCATTATCGTCGGCCATACTTCAAAGTGGTATTCCAAAAGATCAATATCAAGGAAGTGAAGGATAATATCTCACCGGTAGAGAGATCTAGGAAAAGAATGTCCTCTTTATCGATAGACGACGCGTAGATATCGTAGCCGTGAGTCGTCTGCGATGGATAGAGCGCGATGTCGCTGATGTTCAACGTTGTCTTTACGTCGAACGCGAATTTTAATCCGCTCGCTGAAAGGAAAAACGATTTCCGTCGGTCAGTAGTTCAGAATAACGTTCCCAATGAGTTCCGCATAAGATTTCGAAAGAATAACAATGGGAAATTACGTGATACTTCTTGCACAACGAGCGTCACGCCCGAGTTCTGTTTGTCCAAAGTGACAAGGTGTCTGGAATCGGGCGAGATCGTTGGTTTCCCTAAGAGGGTCGGTTTATAAGCTAGAACCGTATCAGTCAGGTAGTCCAGTAGCAGTTGACCCGTTGGTCGATTGCTGATTGGCTCCTGACACTCGATTATTACGAAACCATCTGGAAAGCGACAGGAATTACATCCGAACATCTGGCAGATCGTCAAGTAGACAGATTCGAAAGTGATACTCACAAAGGATCGAAAACTGAACATCCTTCGGGACGCAATTGTAAGAACTCAAGTCTGCGCTGCGCGTGTACTTCATGTTCTTCAGGTCCAGTTTGTACATGCTTCGTTGATTGGTATGGCTCACGTAACCATACTTGAACGTATCCTCGATATCCTGAGAGGATGAGAAATTATACTCCAGGTTTTCACGTGATACTGTCACTTCAACGTTTCAAATCATATTTTCTAAGAATATTTGAAACCGGACAATCGCTTTAGCGACGGTCGGATAATTTTATCATCTCGCCAAAGGAAATCGAGAAGAAAGTTACTTTCGGAATAACGTAACAATTAAGATTGACGCGAACATGATGTATAAACGACTCGCTCGGAAGCCAATGCGGTTAAGTCCAGAAAGCGGAAATTGAGAAAATTAATGTTTTGGCTTCTGAAATGTATATACAACGTATTCGGAAGCTATAAAGAGAAGTGCTTTCTGACGTAGAAAAAACGAAGGAACGAGTGAACCCTTGAGTAACTAAAAAGAATATGATTTATTCCATTAACCCTTTGCACCCAGAAGCCTTTCACCAGAAATATTCAACATTTTTTGATAAGTTATACACGACACTCCTTGAAACGAACTGAACGAGAGGACACACGTAAGTTAAGAACTAAAGTTACTACTTCAATATTTCACATATTTATAGATCACACGAAGCTTAATATTCTGTGCAAGACTTTACAATTTCGGTATATCGAATCAAATGGTGGTCACCTCTCCAGTGCGAATATGAAAAAAATCGACTTAACGGCATTGGCTTCCGAGCGGTTCGAATGTTCAATTAATCGAAAGACGGACCTGAGGTTCAGGGATATAAATGTTTTGGATGATATCAAACTGTGCGTCGATAGGTTCCGGCCGTATGGCTTGGTGTTTTCTCTTCTGGCTGGCGCCTTCGATCACTTGCACCGTCTTCACGCCGATGTCCTTCTCGTTCCGCCAGTTCAACACCCACACTTGGTCGAGCGAGGGCACGTACCAGAGCTGAACAGGATTCTTATCGGTGGTTATTACCTACGCCAACCAGATTTCTGATAGTTTCCTCCAATTAGGACGGGCGGGTGGAGGACAATTATCGTTTTACTTACGTCAACCACGACCATTTGTATCTCGCTGATAACGAGCACTCGGTCTTTGTCCGGTTGGCTGACGTAGATGTACCGGTTCGCAACATTTATCGCACGCCCCCAGGAGCAAGGGACGCTTTTCACACCGCAGACGTGTTCCTGGGATAGAGGATTAACGAATAAGTAGAATTATTATGTGCATTCAGAGCTGACGATGTACCTCAGGATCTGCGCGAGAACTATCGACCTTCCCTCCCCCTTTTCTTCTCATTCCCTCGCTCCGCGTTATCTTAATTATCGTTACATCTACGGACTCGTCGACTAGCTTTCTTGCAGAGCTTACTGCGGTGATAAGTAGATTGTGGATCTTCACGCGGGTATACCGTTTTACGGATTAACGTATAGAAATTGGAAAAATGTTCGTTTCCTCGCGTTAAAGGTTTGTTACTTTCGAAAGATCGGACAGTCTTATCAAACTTTCGTAAGCGTTTCTCTATATCGAGTATTAATCCTTTGCATTCGAAGGTTATTTCCTAGAAATATTCAACATTTTCCGGCAAGATATAGACGACATTGTTTGATACTAATTTAACGATAATTCACAGATAAATTAAGGAATGATGTTATTTTATTTAAATATTTCACATAGCAATACAAAGTTTTGTTCGCTGTATCAAATAAAGTGGTGACTGAGAGTCACCTCTCGAGTGCAAAGGGTTGAAAGTGTTTTCTAGAGATTATATGGTTTTCTATATGATTTTAGGGAAACGCGGATTAAACAGACTATTGCCTTCTGCGAGAGTTTGTAGTAATTCGAAAGGAGGTAAACTAATTCGATTTTATATTCTGCACACCCGCGTTATGCATGAAGAGATAAAACCAGTATTCAGTAAATCATCCCATTAATGATCTTGGATTGATTGATTGTAGCGCGTAGTAGCGATTAAGGTTAGCGGTCTCACCTGAGTACCAGGAATGATGTCGGTAGACCGAATTTCATGGCGCGGTCTACATGCCGATGGCTCGTACACCAAAATGCCCCATTCGTGGAAAGAGAAGAATCTGCGCTCCTCGCTAGCAGTCACTATATGGGAGATAACTACGGTCAGTATTAATTGATTGTATTCTTTCAGAGTTCCCTGTTGTGGACTATCTATCATCGTTTAATGCTATTTTTTTTTTCAAAGACATTTTACAATCTTTCGCCTCGACGCGCACCTTTGAATTTTACGTTTTTGTTTAAATCTCTGTACACTGTGACATACAGTGAGCGAAACAAAAAAGAAATCTCGTAGAAAGAGAATGTTTTCAAATAACACCATCGGTATGTGCAGTTTTTAGAAATAACTTAACTCCACTTTACGCGGAGCGTATCTATCGCGTGAAAAGGGAGTCGGACGTACGCGCATCGTTTAAACAGGAAAATAAGAGACAAAGTATTCTTAATTAGTAGTGCGTGCATTTACAAGCACCGTAGGAAGGATTAACATTTTATCTCTTCCGCGCTGAATATTTTTGCGCGGGGAAAATCACTTAGGAACGAGACGGCAGTTGAAAGGGTCATTAAAGTGCGGCGTTTCGAATGCAAACAATCCGACGAAAAATCCCGGTTTTCATTCGAACGAAAACGCGCGTGTGTGCGTGCGTTCATTAGCGAATTTACCGTCATTAAAAATCGATCATCGGACACGCGATGAGGCAACGCGGCGCACGTTAACGACTTACTCGGTGTCGGTTGCTCTTGAACGACCAAGCTGCTAATGTCCCTGGTGACGCCACCAATGCTGCTCGCTTGGCACATGTAGGCCCCGGTGTCAGCGTAATCGACGTTCTTGATGATCAGTTTAGTGCCGTTCCCGACGATGTCGTATTTGTCCGACTGATTGGAACTCAAAGGCTCGTCGTTCTTCAGCCACTGTACCTGGGGCAGAGGTTCCCCGGCCACGTGACACTTTACCGTGGCCTCCTCCTTCAAGCGTTTCGACTGAAAGCTCGGTTTCACCTGTACCTCTGGGGTAGCTGAAGATAAATAACACGATTAACGGCCCATCCGTTCGCTGCAAAGCGTCCGGGAGACTTACTGTGGATAGTCAGTATGTGTGTCTGAACGACGTCTTGGTTTCTAACCGCGTGGCACGTGTAATTCCCGGCGTGCATCAGCTGCACCTTCGTCAGATAAAGGCTGCCGTCGCTGAAAACTCGTATCTGAAGGAGACGGGGGTCGTTAGACGTGGAAGTTTCATTTCACCGGCCGGTTATCGAAGAATGATCATATAATTTCGAAAGTAATTAGGACAGCCCGGTGATCGTACCTCGGGCTCGTTCAAAGTTTCCAGATCGGCCTGGTTGCGCCGCCATACTAATGGCGGTGGCGGCGTGCCGGTGACATCGCACTTGATATCAATGTTATCGCCCACCCTCGCCGAGATATGATTCACTTCGAGAGATTTGTCGAGCGACACCACCGAAACGCCTGCGAATCATTTCATCGGTTTAATAAACACTCCGACCTGTCAACGGTATTCGTCAGCTCCCGTGTCAGCCATATTGTATTACCCGATGCGAATCGTGGAAAAAAATACAAGGAAAGAAATAGGACGCGTAACCATTTCCGTTCAATTGGAAGGTAGATCGAAAATCAAAGAGAAATTGCTCGGCCGTCGACGAGTAGAACGGGAACTATTATTTACCGTGACGATTTGAACAAGTTTTCGGACAATTTGAAACGAAAAATGGAACGCGCGTCAGACGTTTCTCGAGCCTCTCGGTGAAAATGATTGATTTATATTACACATCCGTGATATTCGTATGTTTGCGGACACAGCGGTTCATCAGAATTGAATGCTGCAATTAATTACTGTCGACGGTCACCAATAATTACTATGGATCCAGTGACTCATACACAATCACCATGGTTATTAATATGATTACTGATACGAGCTAATCGCTAATAGTCTCCGTCGGAGTGGTTCTCGGTTGATAATATGCGATAATACGCTATCCCTGCCACTTCTGAAAATATCGTCCGAAGCTTTTTCCCTCCCGAGAATCTGTTGAGTGCCTCTCCAACGTTCGATTTAATTGTGTCAACGTCAGCGGATCTTCTCCCGTTCAACTTCATTTTGCTTCGGGAGAATAGAACAAAATCACGGAGGGTAAGACCTGGGGAATAGAGGGGGAATGAGGTACTGTCGGAATTTTTTTCCTCCCCGAGAAATTCTGTGGCTGAAAGGGCATTGTTAGCCGGGACGTTGTCGCGATGGAGCAGCCATCCATCATTCCGAAAATGTTGTGACTCGGTCCTGATGATTTCTGTTTTTTTTTTGTTTTTTTGTTAACGTTGCGTCTACCGCTACTTGTTATCGACACGATAAGGTAGGCGTCAGCGTTGGTTTTCAATGGATCTCTTATACTTCGTTCACTCGTCTCGTGGATCCTTTTACATTCGAAAAAGTGCTTTTGTATTCGAATAAAAATACGAGGTTATTTCATGGACTTTATCAAAATTATTAACACACTGGAAAAAAACGTTCGTCTCGGAATACTATTATACGCACCTACGTTCCAATAACGGCAGAACAAACGTTTACAGTTTCAAAGTGGTTCTTTCGAGAATTCTGCAAATTAATTAAAAACACGATCCTTCCGTGGTACACGGTATTCGCGGAGGCATGGAAAAAGAAACGCAAACGCCAGTTATCGCTACCAACAGGCTCGCGTACACCTGGTATCGTGTTTCATAAACGCCGGCTAACTTTGCATAAATTTCGGCGGACAAATATTTCATGAGGTTCCCGGCAAAACATTTTACTACAACTGTTTCCTCTAAACCCCGTTTCATTTATCGCGTTACGCCGACCGCGAAAAACGTGTTTATGTTTCGATTTTGTTCATTATCTCCCTATGGAAGAGAAGAGTTCGCAGCAGCAAGGGAATGTTTATGTTTATTTCGAAGCATTGTTATCGCGTTCCGCGTATAACGTGTCTAGCAGCCCGCCCGTGTCCGAGGGACTAGAAAGAGGGAGGAAAACTCACTGTAAAGTTTGCTGAACGCCATGTAAAATTCGTTCACGTCCAGCTTCCCATCCCCGTCCGTGTCATCGTAGCTGATCATGTGTCCCAGGCTGCAGCCTCGGCACAGTTCCTCGAGGTCCTCGTTCTCCGCGATCTAGGGAGCACCCGGCAATTACCGTACAGAGAGTTATGACCACGGAATTGAGCGTAAGAAGATTATTGGCCGGGATGAAATCCCGGGAAATCTACCTGCTCCAGTTCCTCGCGCTCCAAGTTCCCGTTGTTGTTTCGATCGTAGTGAGAAAACATTATACTGACAAGATACTCCTTGCTATGGTTGTCTTGCGCCATTAATCTCGCGTGGTTGTACAGCAGCAAATTATCCTGCGCCGTGGAACAAGTTGTTACTGGATACGGACACGTTACGTTTACTCAGAACTAGACTCTAAGGATGCGAGCAGGATATTAGGGGAAGGGTTTTGCCGGATGATGTTGCGGTTGTTCCGTTCTACCTTCATTATTTCGTATTCTTGGTTCGAGCACTCGTTCGAGTCCTCGTCCTCTTTCTCTGGGATCGCGTTGTCTTGCAGTCCGCTCTTCTTCCGGTTCTTGGTCCTCGGATAAGCGACCATCTGACCTGTCTTCGCCGACGTTCGATTCACGTGCAGGGTCCTCCGTACGTGCGTGTTCTCGATATCTAAGAAATTGAATTATGGTTTCGTTGTGTTTCGTATTCGGTCCCGTGTGTAACGTGCTTCGCGGTACCTCGCCGGACGTCACGTTTGAACGGGGCAAAAAGAGATTGTAATCCGAAATGGCTTTTCAACGTGTAATATTCTGTGTTCGATTTTAATGAAAGGATTGATTCCAATAAGCAACAGAATTATTAACTCTTTGCATTCGAGAGGTAACTGTCAGTCATCACTTCATTTGATATAGTAAAATTATAAACTCATATATAATATTAAGCTTCGTACGTATCGATGCATCGATATGTGAAATGTTCGAATAAAATAGCTTCGTTTCTTGATTTATGTATGTTTTCTTATTAATTGGTTTCTTATTGGAAAACGTTGAACATTACTAGTGGAAATTTTTCGAGTGCAAAGGGTTAAATATTACACGTTTCGGAACCTTAGTTATAAATTAACGGTACGTTAATGATCCCTTCGTTTTATATTTATTTAGTATTACATTGCTCACGCTCGGTATATTTTTATCCCGTTAGTTTCTAACAAGACTAATTAAGAACAAGCAAGAAAGTAACTCTGTAACAGTGAAAAATCACGGCGCTATTACTCTTGTTTCATTAAATCCTCCAAAAGTGTTCTGTTTACGATCCCGCTGGTTTTAACACCGCGCTGCTTTTTTACTGTCAACTGTACTTTCGTTAGTAAGCTTACCGTGGTGCAGACACCTCATAAGTCTACTCCTGGTCCAGGCCGATTCAGCGTTGCAGGCGGCTTTGTGCAGTTCGCAGTGATTGGCATAGATTTTCCCGTTGCTCGCGCACACGGGTCGATGCCTCCGTGGACATTTTCGCATACAGATACAAAGGGCCATGGTGCCGTTCGGCGAAAGTTCACATTCCCTGCCAGGTCCGCAATATTTCTTCGCGCAGGGATCAACTGCGGGGAAGAGAAATCGCGGAATCATCATTTGCCATCGTCATAATTCTGCCCCGAGCTCTTCGACGCTCCCCGAATCTATCGCGAGGACGCGACTCTCGCGATCGCGATTTAGACCCGCCGACTCCGCTAACCTGAAATGATCTTGTCATCCGGAAATTTCGAGGATTCAAGCGATTTTCCGTGAATCGGATTTCAATGATCGCCGAAACTCACGTAATTCATGTGAATTGCACAGTAACGATTTTACCGGAGTGCACATTGTGCTTTTAAAGTGAAAGGGGATAATCCTGTAATAAAGTTTCGCGTAAATTTGCAGAAACCAGAAATTACGGTAAATTTTTGGAAATTGACAATTTTACGGAAATCCCTCCTCGTTCATCGAAATCCAAAATAAAGTCTGCGAATGTAAGGCAAACTTTTTATTAATACATTATATGATCATTCATATTTCGACGGGACTGTAATTCTGACGGGACTCGAGGAAATATTTACTGCAACGAAACGCGTTACGTTCGCATTTCCTCGTCTCTCGGTTGCTTTAATCTTGTATATGAAATAATGCCGTGCAGTTTCGATGCGTAGTGGCGACAATCTGAATGATTTCCATTAACATAAATCCCTTTTAAATAAACAACACGGATTTACGTTACAATCTAAGACGCTAGAGACTGCGTCTTATGAAAACGGATTAGAAGCGCGGAGATAATCGCACTGCTCCATTAAGTAATCAGTTAATTGTTCTTCGAAATTCTAGATATTTAACCCTTTGCACTCGAGAGGTGACTCTCACTTGATTTCACACAGTGAAACTATAAAATTTGATACTTAATATGAAACTGCGTATAATGCATCAATTTGAAAAATATTCAAACAAAACAGCTTTGTCCCTCAATGTAAGTATGATTCCTCATCGAGCTACTTTCATAGAATATCCTCTCTATCTCATCAGAAAATGTTAAAATATTTCCAATGAAAAACTTTCGAGTGCAAAGGGTTAATAGTAAAACTACCGAGCAATTAGCGTGAGTTATTAAGACTCCTGGCCTTGTATCTCTGCGAATATACGAATTTCATTGAAAATTCTTCGCAAAAACGCCTTTATAATTTAAATACTTGCAAAATACAAATTCTGATGTGAATTTGAGCCGTCCAGTAGTTTTAGCGTTAATTAGGAAACGTGCTCTCTTTCGTTACGTGTTGACAGAAATCGGCTGTTAAACGGCGAGTCCTTCCGGGACGTTGAAAAATGTGCGCGTTCGAATGATTTATCAGGAGAGGATGTGTTGAATTCTCGATTAAGCGACGACAGATAAATCCGGCCGCCACATTTGTCGCGTCCGACGGGTTACATAAGAGCGAGAGAGAGCGAGAGAGAGAGAGCAAACATTTTAAACGCGCGCGATTGGCGTAAATTAATACGAGCAGCTGTGATCGACGTTAGTCGTCGTCCATTTTCAATCCCCCTTTCCCCCCCGGCCATTCCGGGGAATTCCTAACAAAGCAGCGGCTAATTATATCGGCGATGAGAATGAAACGTTGCGCATCGATCAATCGGGACGGGTTCAATTATATTCTGATAATTCCGCGTCGCAGCGCGCGCCGATGCCAACTCGCGATCGCAGTCAACGTTACATCGATTACACGTGATGCGAACGTCGAGCCGTGTTCGAAGCTGCAGTGAAAGAACAAATACCAGGTTTGGAAACAGCTTACCAATCGTATTTCATTTCGCTAATTAATAAACTGCGAACTTCCAGCGTCCGCTCCAAATATTGTCGGGGCCAATTTAAAAAAAGCAATTCTAGTAAATTAGCTTGCAAACGTGCCTCTGAATTTCCATGGGCTTTCGCAATGTTTATTAAACAGTAAAATAATGAAGGTTTCTTGGAAACGTGAAAACAAGAGAAATGAATATTCCTCTTCGTAAAGAGGTAGTCCCCGGTTTAATCATTTTTTGAGAAATATTGGTATTCCACGGAGATTTCATTAAAGTGTATTTAAAATGATCCTCCGTACGCTCGCCGGGGAGGATTAAAACTGTATCAGCGTGGTTATTCCCGGAAAATTACAATCGAGTTTAAACAACCTTACAAATTTGAATTTGATTCCTCGGAGAGATTCGTAACTGGTATCCTTTTGTCGAACACTTCCCGCGCTAAACGAATGCTTTCTTTACCAGAAACTTCGATGAAATTCCAAGAACTTCGATTACTCGATTGGCTTGAAACTTTCAGGTTTCAATGCAGCAGGAGAAAACGGCCGAATTGAACTGACTCCCATTATCCATTTCAATTCACTTCGTTACCGTACACCAACCGGTTTTATCACTGCGCCGCGGTACTATCTCGGAAACAAGAAAATAAACAAATCGATGGAACAGAATATTAACCCCTTGTAATACGATTCCTTTTTGCAAACGTATTCACCGTAATTATTCTATCATCAAGGACTCGTTAGAGGAGAAAGACACTCTGCTTTCACCGCGATATTACATTTCAACTACGCAGTAATTACCAATACCGAAGTTTGTTAACATATTGCGTACCGGCTACTTTCCAGAAAACTAAATTAGCAAAATTGCACAGCTAAGTGTCTTTATATAAAAACGAGATTTCTCGTTGCCAGTACGCAATGTGTTAAATTCAGCTGAATATACTCGAGTAAAATAAAAGGAATATTAACAACTCCGAATGGAGCGTCTTAATAAACAATTTTCGTTGACAAAGGTAACGATAAACGGTACGAACGCACAGCGCTAGATAGAATTCACCATTTCACGCATAACAATCTCGAACGTTTCGCGCAGAAGTTACACGCGAGTGTCGGGCGATATAATTAATCAAGTCGGTTCTTTGTCGTTGCAAAGTTCACTCGCGATGTGCCCGATATTCTATGGAGTCGCAATACTATTAATTTCCGGTCTGGTGCTGTACGGGATACTCGCGGCGTATCATCTAGCTTAAAGGAGGACCTCGAAAGTAATCATACCAGCTCCGAAAGGGGAGAAAGTACATAAAGCGAGTCACGGAGGTCTCCGTGGGCGCACAAATCGTTGGCGCATTGATCATCACCGTCGCGGTGCGCTTCATCCTCAAGATGCAGTATTTATAAGGTAGGTATCCGACGAGGGAAATTACAGGGCCATGTCGGAGGAACGTTTATCGTCGTCGCGAGCATTCGAATCTCGTTACGCGACTCGCGTATTGTCCGAAAACTACTACTCCTTCCCTCTTTTGTCCGCCATTTTAAACGGCCGCGGCTCGAGTGTGAAAATGGCGGACGCAAGCTCAGAACGGCGCCCATTGTCCGCGGTAAATTGTATATTCGCCGTACAATGACTCAATTAAGAAATACTCGACTCGCTTCGAAAGGGAAACAATGCGAAAAATGTCTTTCAATCCGCGCACACGAGGAAACCGTTCCCGGGCGGACGTTACGTTAATGACCGAATTTTTCATTCTCCGCGAGAGGCCGCCGTCAAACGCGTGTAAACACGTTCATTAATTTTTTCCGGCGTGCTGACGCGTTTGTTGGCCCCTTTCAGGTTTCAGTCTCCGCGTGTCGAGGTCGGAACGAACGGCTGTCGCCGCTTCTGCAATGGCGGAGTCTTAGCACATGACATCCTCTCCTCGCGATACT